CAAATGACGACAAGCGTAGCCAGAATCTGAAATTAAATATTTTAATATTTCTTATTGTAGTTGTACTTGAATTTGTACTTTTTTTTTTATCTATTCTGGTACTCACGAGAGTGTGAGAACTGTATCTCATCTTTTAGAATTGATCTGTGATGATCGTATGCTTCTGCAATATATGTTTTTGTTCTACCAATGAGATATTCTGAATAAGCTGTCCCAAACAGTTTTATCAGATAGAGGCAAGAATGTTATTTAACCACCAATAAACTAATCTAAATAAGTTGCCCCAAACAGCAAGGCAGATTATTCTGATAATCTGCAGATTATCATAATAATTTGTTTATCAGCAGATTATAAATAATCAACAGTTGCGCTAAACAGACCCTTAGACTTTAAAACTGGTACTTCAACGAGAAGATCGGAGCAAAGTGAAGCAGATAGAGGGCAACATTCTAAAACAACAAGTTGATCTACCACAACAAATCTCTTTCCTTAGAATTAAATAGCAAGACATAAAATTTCGAGGTTGTCTACCTAGTGCAACATAAATCCTCAAATTGATCTTTAGACCCTTGCACAATTATGTTGTGCAAGTTAAGACCTAACTCATTTTAGAATTCTGAAGTTGTCGTTCGTTACGACATAAATCCTTATATCTTCTAGGTTATTTATATGATTATGTCACACAAATATAAGCTCTAATTAATAAAATTGACAGGAAAAAATATTTGATAATATCTCTTTGAAATTGAAGTCAAACCATATGATACCATGGGAAGTCACCAAAGTTCTCAGAATTTGTGACAACCCCTAGTTTTCTTCCTTTTGATTCCATAATAATGTTCTAAATTTGAGTCTTTCTCATTTGACACTCCTTTGCCCGACATTTGAAAAGTCCTACCCTTTGATATCCTTGAAGACAATATTTTCTGATCTAAATCTAGAGTTTTTTTAGATGACATCGGTCATTTAAGATGTAATTAACTATAGAGGTTTGCCCTTATAGGAATCTTTATAACCCAGCTTAAAATAAACATAGTCTAATTGTTCATATTAGATAGGGGAATTTGTTGGTTAACTAAAGATTTCGCAGACCAAAACGGAAGTCATATATTTTTTAGTTTATTTAATCAAGCCTCACGGATAAGTGATCTGTCTAATGTTGTGCTCGTTTATTTAAACTATTGTCTATATGAGATTGGTTTGGTCTCGTATTTACAAAAATAAAATATTACTTCTAAAATTATAACCATATACATATATTAAATTAAATATCATCTTCCAAATTCCCGCGACCGACGCTACATTCATGCTCTTTCCTGAGAAACAAGCAGATTTTTGAGGATCCTCTTAGGTATCTCAAGATCCACTTCACAGCTTCTCAATGTTCCTTCCCTAGATTACTCATGTATCTGCCCAGAAAATTGGTGGTAGTCCAACGTGCAATCTCATGCTCGTGACACGCTCATTGATGGTCATGTTCATACGCTCTGCAACTTTATTTTATTGTGGTGTCCTCGGAATGGTCTTCTCCATTCTGATACCCTGAGTTGCACAATACTCCTTGAACCCACCATCAATGTACTCACCACCATTGTCAAATCTCAAAAAAATTCAATTTTAGATTTGTCTGTCTTAACCATGACGTTCCAAGTTTTGAACACAGTAAATACATCAGATTTATGTTTCAAACAATAAACTTATACGTTTCTTTTGTGGTCATCTATGAATGTGACGTAGTAACAGGAGCCTCCAAGAGATGTCACTGAGGAAAGTTCCCACACATTGGTGTGTACAAGTTATAATTTTCTTGTCTTTGACATTCTGTCACCTTTTAAGAAACTGACATTCTTCTGTTTTCTCATAATGCAACTTTCACACATGCCGAGATCAACTAACTTCAGTTCTGACAGCTTGTCTTTGGACTGAAGCTCTTTCATGTCTCTCTGACTCATGTGTCCAAGCATGCAATGTCACATGTCTGATGTGCTCTCTGTAACTATAGTATCAAAACTGTTAATTAAATCAGTAGTCATATACAGCGTATCAGTCTTCTTATCCTGAACCAGTATCAGTGCTCCTTTAATAATCTTTCAGATGTTATCTGAGAACACTACTGAATGACTACCCTCATTGAGCTGCCTAACAGAAATTAGATTTTTCTTCAGTTCAGGAATGTGTTTGGCCTTTTGGAAGATCCATTTGTTTTCGTTAAGGAGTGTAATTTCAACATCTATCATCCTCAACACATTCAAAACTACTCCATTAGTCAGGTACACATTCTCAAAGTCACCTGAAACATAGTTTTGCATTAACTCTTGATAGGAAGATGTATGAAAAGAAGCCCCTGAGTCCAGTATCCAGTCGTCAACGGAGTTGTGAACTGCAAGCAATAGTGCACCCTACACTTCTTCAATTACAACATTAATACTGTCGTTCTCCGTCTTCTTAAAATTTTTGCAATTCATTATGTGGTCAGTTTTGCAACAATTTCAGCATGTTGTTTGCTAACCAGGCTTTGACTTGCTCTTGCATCTGTGCTTTGATTTGATATTCCTTTGTTTGAGTTCATGTCCTGTGATCTACCTCTAGAATCAACATTCAGTGTCGAACTCGAACCAAAGTCTCGTCAGAATCTTTCCTGTGCACCTTCTCAGCCAAAATCAAATCGCGAATATCATCATATTTCAGCTTAGATTTACCTGCAGATTTGCTAATTGTCATCCTCATAGCTTCTCAGCTATTTGATAATGAAGCCAGTAATATCAGCGCGTGTATCTCATCGTCAAATTCAATTTCAACAAACGACAATTGATTTGTGATAGTATTAAAGTCATTTAGATGTTGTACAACGAACGTACCCTCTGTCATCTTCAAATTGAATAAATTTTTCATCAGATGCACCTTGTTATTTGTCGATGATTTTTCATAAATATCAGCGCATGTATCGCATTGTCAAATTCAATTTCAAAGGACATTAATTGATTTGTGATAGTAATAAAGTCATTCAGATGTTGTACAACAGAGGTATCATCCACCATCTTTAAATTGAATAAATTTTTCATCAGATGTACTTTGTTATTTGTCGGCGGCTTTTCATACATATCTGACAAAGACGCCATGATCTGAAAAAGCCGCCATGAGATCTGTAGTGGTCCTCTCTTGTGTAACTGATCTCGACAGGGTCAATCGAATAACTCCCAGAACATGTCGATCCAACAGATTCCAATCGGCCTCATCCATCTTCTCTGGTTGTTTTCCCAGTAATGGAAGATGAAGTTTCTTCACATAGAGGTAGTCATCTATATACATCCTTCAGTAACTAAAATTTGTGTCGTCAAATCTCTCGATCCCCAAAACATTCACTTCGTCTCCAGCCATCGTTTTTCCTCAGATCTGAAACCACGACTTTGATACTAATTGTCGTGAAAAAATGCGACGACAATAAAGCGAAAAAACGGTTTGAGAAAAAATTTACAAATCAAGAGAACACAAATTTACGTGGTTCGACAAATTGCTACATCCACGGAGTTGCAGAGGATTTTATTTCTTCGAAGAATACACCCGTCGATCACCTTGACTATTACATGAAAACTCTCCCTCTCCTTCAACCTCCTCTCTCCTCTCCTTCGACCTCCTCTCTCCTCCTTTACTAGTGAGCCACCGAAGAAGAATGGACTGCAGAGAAGAGGGAAGTCCTCACCGCAAGCAAATCGTAGAAGAGACGAAGGGAGAACTTGGAACCTTACAATTCATTTTTCTTCACCGTGAGCCAACACCTTATACAGAATTGCGGAGCGACGGAGGGAAGAGCAACCACTATTTAATCCAATTTCTTCTGCAAGCATTTAACAGTAGCGTGCAAGCATTTAATGGTAGCATGCAAGCATTTAATTTCTACAAGTGGACCTGGGCTCCACTAAACCTAACAGAGTGAACGTTTTAGATATCTCGGGTGTATTGTTCAAAGTGATGATGATATAGATGGGGTTGTTACCAGTAGAATTCAAGTTGGTTGGTTGAAGTAGAGAATTGCTTCGGTCCTATTATGTGATATAAAGGTATTGCTTAGGCTGAAAGGAAAATTTTATAAGATGGTGGTGAGACCTGCTATGCTCTATTATGTTGAATGTTGAACTTTAAAAGAGAAGCATAAAACTAAGTTAAGTGTTGCCGAGATGAGAATGATTAGGTGGATGATTGGCTTTACGCTTAGAGACAAAATGCGAAATGAATATATCCGTGATAGGGTTGGTGTAGCTCCAGTGGCGGACAAAATGATAGAGAGCCGTCTTAGATAGTTTGGTCACATTAAACGTCGACCATTTGATGATCCTATTAGGAGAGCAGAAGTTTTAGATTCGACTTAAGTTAAAGAAAAGCAAAGGTAGACCTAGGAAGGTGCAGGGTTAGACCTAGGAAGGCTTGGGTATATTGTATAAAAAATAATCTTAATTTATTAGAATTAAATGAAAATAATATTGTATAAAAAATAATCGTAATTTATTAGAATTATATGAAAATAACACACTAAATAAGACGCAATGGAGAAAAAGGTTTCATGTAGCCGACCCCACTTTGTGGGACCAAGGTTTTGTTGTTGGCTACAAAGTACATTATGACCAAACATTGATCCAAATTTCCTCCCATAACGAGCGATAACGCCTTCGGAGATGACGATTTCATGGCTCACTTACATAACTATTTATTCGCATACAAACAACAGCATGAACTCAGCATGAATAAAATGGAAATTTTCTGCCCAATTTTTTCCATAAATACAAGCAAATATAAGGATTTAAAGTTCAATTGAACCGATCGAAAACTTTCGAATCACTCACGAGCATAACAGCCTGCCATGCACACGATCTTCAAGATTTAGTTATACGATCCGAAAGAAAGTAATATGCAGCACCAACCATATGAAAATAAAGCCAAATACCAACTATGATCAATCGATAGAATCTTCACCAAAAAAAAAGAATGAAAGAGCGTGATAACACCTTGTTGACGGCCGAGCAGACGAACTTGCAACCGAGAACGATGTGGCTAAGTAGGATGGTGAAATCGCCCTTGGATTCCGAGTACTTCGTTTGCTCATTGAGCACATACCTTGTAATGGTCATCAGGTCCGTCTGACGAGCATCCGCCGCGTGATCCATGTCGCTTGGGTTTCCAACAACCTTCTTCTTTCTCTCTCCCTCACTCTATTAACACAGGAGGATTGGGAGAGCAATGGACGACTGTGGTGTAGTCTAAAGGAATGGAGGGGGTTATACTCGGACAGAGGAAGCTTGGAAGGACGCGTGGCGGCCACGCGAGAGCAAGTCCGGTGAGGATAAAGGACATTGGCCGCAATTTGGTTGCAGCAGAGCAGACGAGCTTTTTGTCCGCTAGCGTTAACAGATGACGGAGTTGCGAGGAAGACGACGGCATCGAGTTACTGTATTTTAAGTTTAGGTGTTTTTAATATTACGGTACTATTTCACATCTAAAACATAAATAAATAAAAGAAAAAAATTATAGAATTAAGCTTTTGACTATTTATTTTAAATTACAAGTGGATTAATCTTTTTTTTCAAAAATATTATATTTAATTTCTTAATATGTATGAATTGGAATAAATATATGATATTATTATGTGTAGAGTAGTTGAGATGATTGATGATAATTATAAGTTAGGTTTGGAGTAGTTTGTAAAATATATGAATTTAGAAAAAGAGCTGATAAGTTTATATATTTTGAATGAGATGATAACTCAAACATTATCTTTTTTTATTATTAATTATGATATTTCTTATAACTAGAGAAGATGTTGATTATTTATATATCACTTTAAATATTGTTGTTTATATATATGAGGCCTGAAAGTCAAATTGTACACACCCAACACTTTAGATTCGTAAATGCATAAAAAATAATAGTCTGTCGTATTAAGATCACATGGTCCATTTTTGTTTCTATCTCCTTTTTCCTCTCTCTGTCTTTCTTGTGAAGAAGCTTCTCTGGCTCTTAGTCAACTCTCCTTTGCTCTTCCTCAAATCCTATAGTAGCAGCTCAGTCATACTTGCTCACTCCCATTCTCCCTACAAACCAAAATTGAGACTCGAGGGCTTGCTCTCCTATTATTTTTCGATTTTCTCATTGAAAACTTTCATTTTTGATTTGCATACGCATGTCACATATATCTTGCTCCATCTTCTCTCATTTAGCTACAACACGTGCACCTCCATCTCTGAGCAACCTGCATGAGATTCTTCCATTTTCCCTTATTTATATCACTATTAGTTCACAATGTCCCCTCTATTAGAGCCATAAAAGTAAATTGATAATATGAAAACAAGCTAAAAAAATCACCACGATTAATTAAATAAAATAAAAAAATTGATATTTGATGTGTGCTAGAAAATTTGTGGTGGTAGAGCAATGGATTATTGTCTTAGTGTTGCACGATAACTCAGCACACACTCGGATGAAAAAAAAACAACCAATGATGACATTAGAAGTTTTTACGTGGAAAACTCGTAAAAGGAAAAAGCTACTGAGCATGAAAGTTTTTACGTGGAAAACTCGTAAAGGGAAAAAGCTACTGAGCATGGCTAGTTGCGGAAATCTACTATCGATTGATGAGGCTCTATTTATAGTGTATTAGTTGCAATTAATGAAGGAATATGAATCATTTTGATTGGACGGTACAGAGAGCTTCATTTGATCTGATGGCTTTTGATGGTCATTTGAGTCCTTTAATGATGTCAGAATTAAGAAATCTTGGGTTTATTGGATTTTCTTATTATGAAGCTTTATTCGAATATAAACCTGCTAGATTAGGCATCAGTTTAATCTTCTAAATGTGTTCAGAAATCTTCTAAGTATGGTTTAATGACTTGATTTGAGCTTGATTTAACTCGGATTAGACTAAATTTAATATCATCGGGTCTGCTTCATTGAGCCAGTCAGTTTGACAATAACTTTATTGAAATTAGAGCTTTTGATGGCTATTTATCAAAAATTATGTAGTTCTTGCTCAAAAAAATTACCTCGAGATTCGTGTCATGCGTTCAGATTCATGTCGGATGATGAAAATTTGTTAGTTGTGTTTTAGTTCCCCCCTTTATTTTTGGGCGACCTCAAGCCACGGTCCATTCTTATATATATATATATA